TGTGTGTGTGTGTGTGTGTGTGTGTGTGTGTGTGTTGTGTGTGTGTGTGTGTGTGTGTTGTGTTGTGTGTGTGTGTGTTGTGTGTGTGTGTATATATATATATATATATATATATATATATTATATATAATTATATATATTAATATATTATATATTATATATTATATATTATATATATCTGATATGTATATGTAATTGTATATGTATATGTATATGTATATCGTATGTATATGTATATGTATATGGATATGTATATGTATGTATATGTTATGATATGCATATCTATATGTAACATATACATCTATACATATATACATAACATATATATATATATATATTATATATATATATATATATATATTATATCTATATATGTATATATATATTATAATATATATCTATTATATTATATATATATATATATATTTATATATATGATTTTATATATATATTTATTATATATTATTATATATATATTTCATATATATACTTCATATACTTATATATTATATTATATATATATATATATAATATTTTATATATATATACTATATAATATATATATATATATATATATATATATATATATATATATATATATATTATATATATATACATATGCACAGTAGAAAAGAAAAATGAGAACATAATGACTTTACTAATGTTTATCTTACTCTTCTCTCCCATGTCTAACCTCTCTCACTTTCACTATTTTTCTTTTCCTTTCCACATTTCCCCTGCTTTTTCCTTCTTTTCATTTTCATCAATTTCTGTTTTTATTTTGTCCTTCATTTCTTTTCCTGCCTTATATCTTATTTACTGCGTATTCTCTCTCTAATTCTCAAACTCTTTCTTTCTTTCTTTCTATTTTCTCTCCTTCTCTCACCTTGTCTTATCTTCGAATTCCCCCTTCTACACAGTGAACTTCCTCTCTTCCTCTTCCTTTCCCTCCCCCTTCTTCACATCTCTTTCTCTCTTCCTTCCTTCCTTTATTTCTTCTCCCTTCTGCCTTACTATTCCTCTTCCCTTTCCCTTCTACCCTTCCCTCCCATCTCTCCCTCTCCTTCTCTTACCATCAACCTTTCCCCAGCCCTCCCTCCCTCACCGGCTATCTTCGGACGTGAGGTCAGGGCGAAAGGGGAAACAGAAGAGAACGAAAAAGCGACGTATCGCAGACGACGCACCCCCCCAAAAAAAAAAAAAAAATTATTTGCAGGTTCCGTTATCAACGGATTCGTATGAAAAGGGGATAAGAAGGAGAGAGATAGTGAAGACAGGAGAAGTGGAAAAATGGAGAAAAGCGGAAAAGAAAAGCGAAGAGAAGAGAGATAGATTAGAAAGATAAAGGGTTAGGGAATGTATTGATAAATAGATGAGATGGACAGAAAGGCGGATAGTAGAAGCGCGCATGTGTGTACAGAGAGAGAGGAGAGAGGAGAGAGAGAGGAGAGAGAGAGAGAGAGAGAAGAGGAGAGAGGAGAGAGAGAGAGAGAGAGAAGAGAGAGAGACGAGAGTGAGAGGGAGTGAGAGTGGAGTGAGAGAGAGAGAGAGAGAGAGAGAGAGAGAGAGAGAGAGAGAGAGAGAGAGAGAGAGAGAGAGAGAGAAGAGGAGAGAGAGAGAGAGGAAAGGAGGAGAGGAGCAAAGTAGGAGAGGAAGCAGAGAGGGAAGGAGGGGGGAAGGAGAGGAGAGAAGAGAAGAAAAAAGAAGGAGACAAACAAAACGCCTGGTCAATGACGCTATCGCTGCAATCGCCGGAGGTACTAAAAATCCTCTACGCAAATTCGAAAATAAAACCAAGAAAAAATTCCAGATCCGATTTCACACACCACGTACTACTTCGCAATAGACGCATCGGCGGCGGTGCATGCTCCATCTATTTCCGCCGACGACCTTCAACACATTTAGCATCCCTTTGACGCGACTTTGCAAAAAAAAAAAAAGCGAAATACTTACAGAGAGAGTGCGAAAAAGAGAGCGAAATCTGTTTGGCTTCTTGCGTAAAAAAAAAAAAAAAAAAAAAAAAAAAAAAAAAAAATCACAGGGGAGACAGAAGCTGTTTGCTGCCCCGGCAGTTGCGCAATCGGGCGGAAATGCTTGCGTTTGCATGATCAAAACACGGAAGCGATTAAACGAAGCCAAATCTTCGAAGCGTCTTAGGGGAAATCGAACTCTCTGACAAGTTTCTGCCTTTTGGTTTTCGCTATTATTTCATTGATCTCATTGTCGGAATTAAAGCAAACGAAAGAGAAAGAGAGAAGAAGAAAAAAGACAAGAAAAGAAAGAAAAAGAAAAGAACGAAGAAAAAAAAATAATGTATGTATAATATAATATATATATATCTATATAATACTATATATATATATATATATATATATAAATACTACTACTAACTTCATCCTCCCTCCCGATAAATGACAACAGATAAAAATAAATCGTTCAACTACCGAACTTCAAATCCATTCTATAAAAAACAGATCAAAATTAGACCACATCCGTTTCCATTAGAACAAACGCCTAAAAATG